TGATCAATCTTTGGCAGCGGGAAGTTATCCTTCGGACAAGCTTTGTTTAAATTGGTAAAATCAATGCATACGCGCCATTTCCCATTTTTCTTTTGCACAACGACCACATTCGATAGCCAGTCGGGGTTGTACACTTCTCTTACGAACCCCGCATCAAGCAGCTTATCAACTTCCTCGGCAATAATTCGGTTGCGCTCGGGGGCAAACCGTCGCTGCTTTTGCTTTACAGGTTTTGCATTGGGGTTAACGTTCAAGGAGTGACAGGATACCGAAAGATCAATCCTTGGCATGTCTAGGTGACTCCATGCGAACACATCTGCGTTTTGAGACAAAAGATCAACTAATTCCTGTTTTTCTTCCTCAACGAGTCGTTCCCCTACTCTGGTTATCCGTTCTGGTCGGAACTGATCAATCTGCACATCAAGCAGGGGTTCTTCAGTCAAGCCTACTGGTTCCTCCTCTTCATTCTGCTTGGAGGGAGGCTCCTATAATTGCTATCTTGGACTTACTGAACGAATGGGAGCTTTCCCCTTTCCGGCATGTTTCATCGTTACTGAGTAACATTCTTTTGCTGCAACTTGGTCTCCATGAATGTCAATCACTTTGGTTCCGTTCAGTGTCAGGCATCTCATTACCTGATGCAGAGTGGAAGAAAGACCTCGAACTCTGTGGATCCACCCTTTGCCCATCAGAAGATTATAAGATGGGTGAATTTCAACAACTACAAAGGTTTCCATCAAGACCCTCTCGGCAGCATGTACCGCTACCTCCACCATGCCGACGGGCTCCACTCGCTTTCCATCAAACCCTAATAGTGGATTCCCGGTGGATTTCAGCTGATCCTGTTTGATCTCGAGCCGATCGAATGTATCTCTTGGCATGATGTTCGCACTACTTCCAGGGTCAATTAGAACTCTGCGCACCAAGCATTTGGCCGCTGTCAAACTTACGACCAGCGGGTCCTCATGAGGGATCTGAGCATGCAACAAGTCTGTTGCGTCAAACTTTATTTGCGTTGATGCGCTCTGCTAGTGCAGAGTGTTTACACTGCCTATCCTTCTCTTTATCCGTGCCTGACGAAGGCGTGTTCGAAGCAGTTCATCTGATTCTTCAGCAGGCTCTGGCCGACCGTGAATTGCATTAATTACTCGAACTGGTTGCGTGTTGTGAGAATCCGACTTCTGATTCTTCTTCACCTGCTCCATTTGTCGGTTCTGCTCCACCGCTGGTCCTTGAATATAGCTTGCGAATTCCCCTCTGGCTATCAGCATCTCTACCTGTCTCCTTAGGTTCCTGCATTCGTTAGTCTGGTGGCCAAAATCAGAATGAAATGCACAGTGTTTAAACTGATCCCTCTGTTCGAGAGGTTGTCTGATTGGTAAAGGAGTTCGGAACTTATCTTTATTTTCTTGGTACAGTCTTGCTAGGGTAACTTTCAATGGAGTAATCAGCTCTTCCTCTCTGGGCCTCTTCTCGGATTTCCACGAAGAGCGTTGCGGTTGGACCTATTTTTGCCTGATCTTTGCTTTGGTCTTTTCTTCCGTGGATATAACGGATGTCTTCCGAGCGTTTGCCGCCTCTTCTTCTTCCAAGCGTACAAATCCATCGACTCTTTCGTTAAGTTCATCCATAGTCCTCGGCGTGTTGACCACCAAGCTTGTGTAGAACGGGGTGCCACGATTCATGGCCAGTATGAATGCTTGAACTGCCATTGAAGGGTGACATTCAATAACCATGCTCTTGGTAAGGTTAAACCTGGTTAGGAAAGCCTGGAGACGCTCTTCAGCGTGCTGCTTCATTGTAAATAAGCTCGAAATATCTTTCGCTGGACGCTTGTTTCCATAGTATTGGCTTATGAATCAATCGCACAGGCTTCGGAAACTATCCACCGAACCCCTCGGCAGGTTCTTGAACCAATTCAGAGCTGGTCCGGCCAGACTCGTAGGAAAGCACTTGCACATCAAAGAATCATTCTCAGTGTTTAGAGCCATTTTCAGCTGGATGTGATACACATGATCGATCGGATCAGTCATTCCGTCGAACAAAATGAAAACGGGCATGGAAAATTTCCTCGGACTCGGAGCATTCAGAATCTCATCGGTGAACGGTGAATCCACCGTTCGAGCTGCTGAACGGAGTGCTTCATTTTCCCTCTAGAACCCCGCAGCTGCTCTCTAGTCTACTGATCTTCTCTCTGAGCTGTGATAGTCAAACGTCGTCATGGAAGGCCGATAGGTCGGATCAAATAATCTATCCTCAACGAAGTCCTTGCGCCATGGAGGCATAGCTTTCTGACGAATCAACTCTGTTGCTTCACCTCGGCTGAGCGTTTCTTGATGTGGATCAAAAGTCATTGCTTCGTTTCACCTGATCTGTTCACGCCGTGGATCCATATGAGTCGATCCTTCACGATCATCCATACGACGAAGATTTGGCGGCAAACCGTCTCCCCGGATTTCCTCACGGTGAGGATCTACTAGATTGTTTCCAACCTCCTCACCGTGATGTGCTGCATCGGTACGTGCACCTTCTTCTCCCACCGGGAGTGGTCGTGGAATTACTGGAGCTTTTTGACGCTGCATTTCATTCCTTAGATCTGCATTTTCTCTCCGGAGAGCTTCGATCATGTTTATCAACTCATCTAGTTTCACTTGCTGGACGTTCTCAACCGTATTAGAGTTGTCACCCCCTATCATGATTTCAGATCGAAGCAAAGGCATGAATTACGAACTTCGAAACAGATCTAAGCGTTACCGATGCAAACTCCGCTAGATCTGGGCTTAACTTCACCGAATCGTGATCACTGTTTGCTAGATCTGAACTTTTCTAGCTTCAAACTCTTCGGATCTGACTGCAACTGAGCAAATCACAATTGCGTCATTCCAAAGCAAATCACAATTGCGTCATTCCAAAGCAAATGCCTCAGAATCCTCAATAAGCAAGAATTTTCTCGGAACAAACTACAATCTCACTGATCTGGATTCAACTTTCATAAATCACACTGCGTATTCACAAACTCGATTGAACTAATATGGTACTGATCGGGCTCAAATTGATCTTCGTCCTCGTTTCCCACAGACGGCGCCAATTGAAGATACAAGAATTCGTTTCTTCTCTCTCTCTCTCTCTCTAGCCTTCTTCTCTCACTTTCTACCCGTCATGGTCTATTTATAAGCCATGACCTTTATTGCGGTTAACCATTTACGTTGGGCCTATATTCGAAAGCTCTCTTCCTTCTAGGCTGGGTCTTGCAATGAGCTTGACCTTCTTCGGTGGACCTCCCACGTTCGGCCCATTCCAGGGTGCTTTAGCATGGATCCTACTTCAATCATTCGACCCGATCTTGTTCCCGCGAACCATATCCTGCCCATGCCACTTGCCGCATCCTCATGACGTCATCCATATCATCCATCTCTCACATAATAGACACTCAAACTCTTATCATTACTCAAAGCAAAGTTTAAAGAGGTAAGTTCGGTTCTCCCAAGTAAAACACACGTGTAAATGACTACTATTACAACTCCACGCAGAGAATCCAAATCATATGTAGGGGAGAAAAGAAAAAAAAAATAGTAATAATTTCTATTCATATTTGGATAGATAGTGAAAAAATAATAATAATAATAATTATTTTTGTTTGGATAAGATAGAGGATTGAAAAAAAAAAAATAGAAATGACAATGATTAAATTATTGTACTACCATTTCAAATTAACTTAACCCAATACTTTCTAGGAGCTTCATTCCTGTGACACTTCCAGAAAGACTTGGAAGATGCATTCCCATGCTTGAAGTTGATCAAATCTGAACCTTGTCTAATAAGAATATTAACAACTAAATTCCAAATGTCAAATTATTTCTTCATCCTTAAACCTTGGTTTACACCATCTGCCATTTTGGATAACATTTCTAAATAGAGACTTCGTAGCCCAGTCCATCTTAACCACCCTCCTAACACCAAAAACCCCCCTCAGCCTTTGGACACGCTATTCTATTCCACTACAGCTAATGGAGTTTTTGGGATTTCATATAGCAGCCACGAAATAAATTTTTGATTAATTTTTCAGTAGTATGGATAGTAGCAGCAGGTAACTTAAACACAGCAGTGACAGCATTCCAATAATGGATGATTGCATAAATCACAGTTCTAATTTTTTTGTTGGGACTTGAATGGAATAATTTTTTTGTATATTTGATTTGTGGAGGTTATTTTGGTATTATCAACATATCACTTATTTCGGTATGCTTATTTCCCTATCTTCTCAAAATAGGAGAGAAACTAAATGAGAAATAGGGAGGAATAGTTATCCCTCCTTATCTCTCCACTTAACCCATCCAAACACACTCAGAGCATCCGGGGCGCAGTCTTATGTAGAGTGAGAATGCGTCAGTTTAAAGAGAGACAGAGGCGATATGGTGAAAGAAGTAGAGTATTATTTTTGTGGGACATACACTCATTATATATGCTTCTCTCCACAGACAGAGTTCCGTTTGGAGAATACTCCATCTGTTTTTTTTCTTTGTTTAAATAATCTGATACAAGGCAAACAAAACAAAAGGCAGCTTCTTCCACGGCTCAATTATTTTTAAATTAAATTAATAAAATAATAAATAGAGAATGAAATAATTGAGTTCCATGCCATAAAACATATAGTAAAAAATAAAAAAATAAAAAAATAAAGTACCACATCATCACTTTTTAACTTATATAATATTCTACTTTTTAAAAAATAGAACCCTATCCTATCCTTTCTTTCCTTCCTTTTTTTTTTTTTTCTTTTTTTTTTTTTTTTTTTTTTTTTGATAAAACCTTTCTTTTCTTTTCTTTTTCTCCTTATCCCTCGAATCAACCCATCCAAACACATTACTTTGGGTGATCCCTGCCATGGATTGCGTCCGTACAACTCAAGTCCAGCCACATTGGGTAAGTCCACTGTATCGTGTGGGCCCACATACTGAACTGGCACAACTGTACTATTATCTACTCTCTTTCTCTCTCTTCCACTTTGGTTTCATCGACCTGAAAGGCGTTTCTCTCTCTTGGACCCTCCCATCATCATCATCCATAACTCTCACACCAGTCACCTCTCCGACGGATTCTCCAAAACTCTCACTTTCTCTCTCTAAAAACTCTCTATGTTAAACATAGAAACTCAAACACTCACGCACCCACACACACAGAAATTCCACTTCCCCCTCTCTCTCTCTCTCTAAAATCTGAGCAATGGCGTCGTCTCTTGCAACAACAGCTTCAGCCTCAGCTGCTTCGGTTACCAGAACTGCCCCTAATTCAAGTTCTTATTTACGTATTCTGTCTCATTCTCACTCTAGGGTCTCATTTCGTCTCTCTCACAAACCCAAGCTCCAAATCTTCACCAAGGTATGTATTCATGTATGTGCAATTGCAATCTCTCTCTAAAAATTTCACTTTTTTCTTTCTGTAAATTCATTGTATTCTTTGAATTCTGTTTGAAATTCCTTCTATTTATGAGATCAATCTCTGTTGCTCTCTCTGTGTTTGTGTGTGTATATATATATATGTATGTCGATTTGTAATGCAAGATGGGTTTTTTCTCTCTCTCTTTCCTTCTTTTTGTCTCAGTTTGGCTGCTGACAAAACTGAGCAAAAGTAAAGAAAATGCATTGTGAGTCTTTTGATTTATGTTATTTTGGTTTTTCGGAAAAAGGAAACTAAACAAAAAAAAAATCAGGGAACACAAAAACTGGTGGGTCTGTTAAGTGGAGGGTTGTGTTCCCTTCTGTTTGAGCTAGTAGAATTTTTGAACTTTTCAATTTTATTTTTATAAATCTTGTACTGCATTTTCTCATCCATCAAACAGAGGATTTTTGGAATTTAGTGTTCTGTTTATTTTTATTGGCATCATATTATTTGGATCTGGATGGGTCGTGTTGTTGAATGTATTGCATGAAATTACTTCATTTAAGAATTGGTGCCTGGAATCTGATTTGGTTAATTGAATGATGTAAAAACATGTTGTAATTTAGTGAATTATGTTCGGTCAATAGACATTTCAATGAATAGTTTCTATAAGGGTTTAGCATTTTTCCAGTCAATATTACTGACACAACAAATTACTGTATGAATTCGCGCGGCCCTCATATCACCGGGGAAAAAGCGGGATATGTGAATGATAATTAAAACTTTATCCTTTTTTTGTCTAGAGAATTCAGTCATCCAAGTGCACTAATTAAATTTATCAATACTTTTCTTCCAACCATTTAAAGATATCCTATTTTAAGTAGGCCTGAATGCATGTGTTACACATTGCAATTTAATTAAGCTACTCCTATTCTTAAAATACCTTCCATCATTGTGCCAAAAAAAAAAAACAGGCATCTTAGGCTCATGGGTTACATGTATATCCTTGACTTAAAGTCAACTATTCCATCACATAAAACCCTTTACATGCATAGACTTACCAAACTTATATGACTCTTTTTTAAATACAGTGTTCATTTAGATGTAAAAAAAATAAAAAATAAATTATTTTTCGTGTTCTAGGGTGTGGATCTCATCTTCTAGTGGAATGGTTATCCACCAAACTTTAGCTGACCACCAACAGAAGTTAGAATCAAGGAAATTCCAAACAGTGCCATACTGCCATAGTTTTCTGTTGGTGGGAGAAGTAACTTATCCTTTTTGATAAGTTGGAGTAGTAACTTATCTAGTTCATGTTGGTAGGCATATCTAGTGCTTGATTTTACGCAGTTTTCTGAAACTACGCCTTGCTGCTTTATTCTCCTTGTACTTTCAGGAGTTGATACTTTTGCAATTCAGTGAAGTGTCTGAGGGGGTCTTTCATGTGGGGTTCATCATTTTCCCACTTTGATTTGGGTGGTTGTGATTTTCTACAGAAGTTGGCATATTGCTTGATGTAACTCTGTGAAACCAGTTGCATCATTATGTTTATTTTATATTTCGGTCATAAGAACTCTTATATTGATTCATGTTTGTGGAAATCGACCGCATGACAGGGTTTACAGTCCAGTAGGAACCGTTCCACTGTGGTGAAAGCCCAGTTGAACAAGGTAAGGTTCTTTCAGTGGTTTTTGTTATAGATTTTCATATTTTCTTTCCGATATGGACACTCATTTGGAACCATCTGTTGCATTCAAGGTTGCTGTGGATGGATCCTCAAATGATGCAGCTACTCCAACTAAATCAGATATTCCAGCATCGGAAACCAAGGATGCTAAGCCATCAAGTGAGTCTTCTCCTGCAGCTTTGGCATCAGAGGAATCTATGTCTGAGTTTATTGCTCAAGTTGCAGATCTCGTCAAGTATGTAAACTCAATCTTTTAGTTATTTATCTGGCCTATTTATATTTTTGTCAAACAAGAAAGGGGTTAATATATTTATTTTGTCTTGTCTTTCAGGCTAGTTGATTCTCGGGATATTGTGGAGTTGCAATTAAAACAGCTTGGCTGTGAACTCTTAATCCGTAAAACAGAGGCTTTGCCTCAACCAACACCTTCTGCTCCAGCTTTTATCATGCATTCACCACCTCCACCTGCTGTAACGCCACCGTCTTTCCAAGCAGCCCCACCTGCGGCTTTGCCAGCACCTTCTTCTGCCCCTGCCCCTGCCCCTGCCCCAGCCCCAGCCCCAGCCCCAGCCCCAGCTCCTTCTGCACCTGGTGCTAAGTCATCCCTTCCAGCTCTTAAATGCCCCATGGCAGGTACATTCTACCGATGTCCCGGACCTGGCGAGCCTCCACTTGTAAAGGTGATACTTCTCTATTCTGTGATTCATATGAATTCAATTGGATTTGTGGTTACTTTCTGTTTGATACTGTAGTCCACACACACACACACACACACACACACACACATATATATATATATTTGCCTGTGGTCTTACGCTAGGGCCTTTTTCTTCAGGTTGGAGATAAAGTACAGAAAGGACAGGTCCTGTGTATCATTGAGGCCATGAAGTTGATGAATGAAATAGAAGTAAGGAGTATTTTTCTTTTCTCTATTAAATTTATTTATTTATTTTTTTCCTTAGAAACTGCCATTAGAACTTCTTCAAAAAGGAACTGTTCTTTATGCAAATAGGGTTTTCTTTTTTAGTAGTTCTTATTAATTAACTTATGGAGTCTGGTCAACTTTAAGTTTCTATCTCTCTTACTAGAGATGAAAAGTATTTGCTATAAATATTTGTAAATATTTCTTCATTTTGTGGAAATAAATTGTTGCTGATGCCTATAGTTGGCTCTTCAATTTACTAAATAAGGAAGTAAATTCAGTATTAATTCACTGCCCAATGACGGAGAATGAGAGCAACATAGAATTAATATGCTATGCAGGTCCAAGGGCATGGAAAGTTACCTACCAAAATCGCATCATAAGGTAGCATGAAATTCAAGGAATGTCCTGAAGTGTCACGTGTCCGTATTTTTATATTTATTTTATATATTTCTTTTTGAAATCTGTCGTATCTTTGTTTTCATATCTAGGGCTGCAAATGAACCGAATTGTTCATGAACAGCTCAGGCTCGGCTCGGGCTCGTTCATTAAGCAAACGAGCTGAGCTCGAGCTCGATTTCTAGGCTCGTTTAGTAAGCGAGCCGATCCCTAATAGTGTTAGTATGAGCTCGTGTAGGCTCGTTATATTCATGAACATAGGCTCGTAGAGGGCTCGTTTATGTTCATGAACTATAGGCTTATTACATGGCTCATTTATATTTGTTCTATTTTTATTGGAATTTTTTAATCTTTGAAAGTATAAAATAAAATTACAATAAGTTACCAAACAAGCCTGGCGAGCTTGAAAACAAGCCTGAACAGATTTTGAACATGAGTTCAATTTGTTGTCTTAAATGAACCGAGCTGAGCCCAATCTTTTACCTTGAGTCCAAAGCCACAACAAACATGTTTCAGGAATGATTGGAAGTATTAAATATTTGATGTTAAAAGTTATGTTTCAAATTGTGAAAATATCCATGGAATGTCAGTTTGAACATTCTCATTGGAAGTTCTTTAGTTTCACTGTCATAGACAGGTGTAGAAGAACTTTATAGTAGCCTGCTAGATTGAATTTTGATTGCTGATGTTGCCATTTCCATTTCCTGCCTGGAATACCGAGTGAATATATAAAGAAATGACCGACCACAATAAATTTATGCCTGCAGTATCACATTTTTATTTATTTATTTTTTTTTTTCAGGCTGATCAATCGGGAACTATACTTGAGATCCTTGTAGAAGATGGCAAGCCTGTCAGCGTTGACATCGTAAGTTTTCTGTATAACTTTACTGTCAGATGATGACATTACATTTATTCATTTTTCTTGAAATTTTCTTGGGGTTATGTTGATTTCAACTTTTATGTGTTTACAGCCTCTGTTTGTGATTCAACCCTAGAGACTACTGTGGGTAAACAAGTAAACTGTACTAGTGTAGTTTAGGAGGAGGGTGTTTCTCTTGGTAATGGTTTGAGATGCGGCGCTGTTTTGTTGGTTTGATTTCAACTTTTATGTGTTTACAGCCTCTGTTTGTGATTCAACCCTAGAGACTACTGTGGGTAAACAAGTAAACTGTACTAGTGTAGTTTAGGAGGAGGGTGTTTCTTTTGGTAATGGTTTGAGATGCGGCGCTGTTTTGTTGGTTTGAGATGCGGCGCTGTTTTGTTGCAATTAAGATGCTTTTCTTGAAATGAGATGATAGTTGGAGACTTAAATGAAGGAACCTGTGACAAGTCTTTTACTTTATTTGAAGATCTTATTAAGTTGAGAATATTTCTTCTTCTTTTTTTAAAATACTTATACTAGTCCAATATATATATATATATATATATATATATATATATATATATATTTTCTAGTTGGTACTCACACACACGTCTCTTCTGAGACTTGAACCCTTAACCTCCCTTTGGGAAGTAAGAGGCCAATACCGCTAGGCCACTGGCCCGTTGGTAACTAGTCCAATAATTTTATTACCAAGTGTATCATCTTTGAGGTATCAAATACTTATTGCAAGTCCCGATAATAGGCGATAAGGTTTGTAAGCAATTAAATCTGAAAATGAAAGTCATTCAGTTTATTCTCCATAACATTTGAAGGCAGTACCTATGCCTTAGAATGGAGCCAGCACTACATATGGAATTGAGAAATTTGAACGGTGTTGAGAGACCTGAAGATCAAGGTTTTAAAGTTGGAGCCAACCCCACATATGCCTGGTGTAAACTTCAAACGCGTCAAAGCCATTTCACGACCAAGGTTTGTGGCTGTTGTTGAAACATTTTTTTTTCATTTTTTTAAACTCGAAATTTTGTTTCATATTCTGTATTTTCAATACAACATATACTAGTATGCTTTTTTATGCATGTTTCCATTTACTTTGGTATATATAACTAGTGAAATGTGAATGCCATTTTGAAGCATGTAGGAGAAACTTGACAGGAGAAGTTGTGTCATGTCCTTGGTTCATGCTTCTGCCGTGGTGCACGCCAACTTTGTGGGCATTGCACCAGACTTGGCCAGGGCTTGCCATGGGCACTGCCTTGACATACGATAAGCATGCAAATTGACATTAGGTTAATACATTATTTGATTCCTGTATCAATAAACACTCCCCCGAAATTTCTCGGTAATTGCCTACTACATGTGGGACGGAGAGCTATATATACATGCCCGGTAGTAGATTATGGGACTCTAAGGGGCCTAACACTACCATCATAATTGATGGTTTCATCCCAGACCACCTGCATAAGAGAGAGAGGAAATTATTACCATTGTTGATTGGCAACCACTGTTGCTTCCTTCACTACTGGACTAGATAACTCTCCTGCTCAAAATTAGTCTTGATTTACAGCATGTTTTATATAATTAACAAAACTATTTATATTCTTGACCCCTCAAATCAGTTTTAAAAGTTTTGCCTAACATGGTAGAACTTTATTTGTCAAATCATGAAAGCGTTTAAATGTGAGGATGGTCACTTTGCAAATAATTTGAAAAAGTTGAGTTTTGTTCCTACCAGTATAATTTGTTCTTGAAATCCAAATTGGATTTATTAAAATGGCTAGCTAAAATATCTAATTTACAATCAAAGGTTTGTTTTAGTTTAAAAGTTGTTTTTTAAAAGAAAACCATTCCTCTGTTTCTGCAAGAAATTCATTCCAAGGGCTTAAAAGATGACCATCAGTCCAAAATCCCACACAATTCTGCCACCCTCAACAATAACTCCCATTACATTTAAAGTAAAATCACAAAGCATTAAGGGCTGTTATCAAATAAACATTGCAGCTCAAAATGCCTAGTAAAGAAAATTTTGAATTTATTTGCATTTATCCACATCAGTAAAGTTCCATTCCTAATAGAAGATCACCTAGTTCCATAGAAGATCACCTAGTTCCATTCCTAATAGAAGATCACCTAATTTAAACTTTAGAACGCACTCATAGTTATTAATTCTTTTTTAATTTTTTAAAATAATTATTTTTATTTTTATTTTGAAGAATCACTAAATTATGTGAAAAGAACACGAATTTTCTGGAAGGCTATCATTCATTTAGATATAAGCACATTTTTTAAAACTAGAGCAAAATTTAGGTCGTCAATACTGAGGAAATATCTAGATTTATAGATGGAAAGTTATAGAAGCTATATTATGGCATGGATTATAATGCGTGGGAGACGATGGCTGAGTGTACATATCTCATTTGACCCTCGAGTTGGGGTTTCAGACGGTAAGTGCTAGGTTTGTGGAACACTTTTGCTGGTAATAATAGATAAAAATAGGGGTGATAGTGTAGAAAATGGTTTCACAACTAACTAATTTCTCCACGTTGTTTGTGATAATAGATAAAAATAGAGATGGGTAACGTGGAAAATGGTTTCACAACTAATTTCTAGACGTGTGGGAGGTGTCACTAATCCTTTCTAAATACAGGTCACGTTTCTGTTTTGGGAGTCTTCCAATTTTTGCTTGGACTGTAACTCCCAAATTAGATTATGATTTGTTATCGGAGAATTTGGATGGCAATGTTCTTGTAATGTTGGAGAATATGGAAGACAATTTTCTTCTAAAAAATGTTAGAATATGTTTTTTTATTATTTAAATTTATTTTAAACAAAATGATGTTGTATGAGTATTGAAAGTGTGAAGAAAGGAGATGGTCCTCTTTCATTTCTATAGTTTTTCTATTTAATCATTTAAGGTAAAATTCTTCCTAAGTAACATTCTAAATATTATTTTTCTTCTGCTGCTCTTTTGTTTTAGTTAAATAAGATATATGTAAATTAGGAAGAATTCAGTGAAATTCAACATCTTTCATTGACTTCATGCAAAATTTGGTTGAGAACAAGAAATCCTTTTCATAATTTAATAATATACCAAAAAATCTGCCAAATTTTGTCACAAAATTCAGAATACACATAAATGTAATTTTCACAATTCAGACTCTTCTCAATTTCAATAAAAGTAATAAATTTTAAGAAATTCGGAATTTGCAGGAAAAAAGCAAGTCTCTGAAACCTAGGTGGCAAGAAGATTATGTCCAATACACATCTATAATATGACTGAATTTCAATAAAGACTCCAGGCCAAAATACACACACACATACACAATTTTTTTCTCACACATTTTTCTCTTTTTCCTAGTTGGTACTCACACACATTTTTCTATTCTAAGACTTGAACTCCTAACCTCACTTTGGGAAGTAAGAGGCTGATATCACTAGGCAACTGACCCGTTGGTCACACACACAGAATTTCAGCAGAACACATGGCCAAAATCTGTTAAATAATATGGTGAAAACTGTATCAAGTTCATAAAATAAGATGGGAATCAAAGAAGAAACCTTTTACTGGCAAACAATATAGAGTGACTAGAGCCTAAAATGTAAAGAAATAAAGTACGAGATTGCTTGTATAGTATGGGTCAGTAACCAGCTAGTTTCTGGATATAAACAACCTTCATTAACATCCCTCTATGAACTTCAATTTCATTTCGTAAACTCAAACATGCCTCTTTGCACATCGAATTATCTGTTGCAGAAAAACCAGTTTCTTGGAGTTTAGGCCTATGTTGGGAATCAAAGACATATTAACAAGAACATGGATATCCTAGAATTCTTTCGCTTTTCTCCTTAGTTCATTCAGCTCATTCTCAATCTCGGTGTCCCGAAATGTAAATGAAGAGTTTGTACTGCTAATGGACCTCCCAGGAGGAAGCTCTCCTTTCTGTTTAGTCAAAAAAAAGAAAAATTATACATCATATAAAATAGGTTAATAACCCTAATAAAGCAACAAATTTGAAGTTTTTAGTAATTATAAAAGTGATTTTTAGTCATAGAATTTGTACTGTGGGGCCATTGCACAATAAAATGGTAAAGACTCGTACTAACAAACATAAGGTCGCAAAATTAAAGTCTCAAAATAACCATATGCCTAATGTTAGATTGTTCACAAAATGTTTCCAAAGGTTCAGACCATTAAACCCAAGGTTAGATATGTTTTTTAGTTTCCCCCTCTCAGCACCCTGCATAAATGGGGCATTACAGCCAGGTAAAGCACTGGTTATAGAATTTGTTATTTATAAGGAGTCATGGTGCTGCCTCTATGTTCTTAACTTTTACTGATTTTTTCTTCTCTTTCCATTTTTTTTTTTTTTTTAAGTGATACACACACACTCATATCATAACTATGCCTGAAGCTACACCAAATATCACTCAAGCTAACAGCAGGTGGGCTCCCCACACCCTAGTCCCCGGCCTCTTCTTCTTAAGCTAAGTAATGAGGATACATAATTCGTGTAATAGAAACAGAATGAACTTTGGGACATTGGCGGAGTAAATTGGGTAGAGACATGACTTTAGGGTTTATTTGCATAAAGTGTTTTCTCATATACTTTGAACCCCCAGGCCCCAGTTCGCAAAAAATAGAAGAAGAGAATTCATGCGGCCAACTCCATTCACGTTGGATTAAGGCCATGATGATGATTATGATAGCACCAAACAATTGCTCCTCTATGTTGCAAAATGCAAGAACTGGTACATTTTTTTGAAAACTACTGCTGCAATGATAAATAAACACTAAGATGTACCTTTTCATTTTGTCAGAAAAATTCAATAAAGCATAATTGCCCCACTAAAAACATGTTCAACAAAGGTTAAAGAAAGTACTTCATAATTACAAAAAAGACGAAAATCAAGCACTTCATAAGATAAAATTTATATTTTATAGTAGGAATTTTGCAGGATGCTATATATGATTTTTGAGGTTATTGGTGACCTGTGAAATATATTTGCTATAAACTAATACCATGCAGAGAAATATGAATAAAAGATCTTGAACTCCATTTCAAGTGGCACTCTGAAGAAACAAAGTTATGATTAACATTGATTACCAAAGGGGTGAGCAGTTCTACTGTGGTGTTCAAATGTACTCTTTCAACTCCCAGGATGTAGCACTACACACACGCCCAGATTATAAAAATATAACAGAATGGATAGACTAGTGAATCAAAATTTCATATTAAAGTGAGTTATATGCTAGCTATCCACAGCAGCACTCATAACCAATAAAAGATAAGTAGAAACTACCTTTTTGCTCGTGGACAGTTCTTTCTTCAAGTTTGCAAGATCATCATCAACTGAAGAGCTCTCTAGCAGTGCAAACTGTAAAAGTTACAAAGCAATTGCAATTGTAATTTTTTTATAGATGAAGTAAAATTCAACTTGAAAAATATTTTCTTAACAAGGCCTATCAAATTCTGAAGTCAAGATCTAAAATTCTGGATAGCACTAAAAGAATAGATGTGGCATCCTAAATTCATACATTATTCCTCTTTTGGCTACATTTATTAGCAACAGAACACAAGCGATATTTTGATTATGACAGTGACGAGGTGATAAAAACATGTAATAACAAACTATGGGCATTGACAGCTTCTCTTCATGTCATTTTCATGTCTCCTAAACAACTTCTATCCAATTATTGAGGAAACGTATTCCACAATAATGACCAGAAAGTATTTTTTAACTTCTTTTCCACTTTTTATTTTTTATTTTTTATTATTATTAACAGAGATCCCAAAATTGGACATACAACTGAACACTAGCAGTCCTAATGTTTCAAACTAGATAATCTTGGAGTAAAATAAAGCAACAAAGTCCATGCAACAAGAAGAGCAATTTTAGCAATTTAGTTCCACTTGTTCATCTATTTTCACAAGGAACCTGACCCCTTCTACAAGTCGATTTGCATGCTGATTCTTAAACATTAGTGAGAAAACTCAAAATATGAATATGATGAACTGATGAAGTGAAAAATGCTACCTTTCCGTCAAGATCGTCAGTTGTTAGCTGATTAAGTGCCTCGGCTTGAGACTCCATAGCCAAAACTACAAGGAAAAGAAAAATTAAAATTTTTGTAAGCCATTACTACCATGATCAACGATGCAGCAAAATATAGGTGAATTGTTATCAAGAATGAGGCAATAGGAGTTGGCAAGGGAGGCTATTGTACAAAATAGTGCCACTTGAAGTATGTATAATTTGGAGAGTGCCAAATTAAATATATAGGGAGATCTTAGCTCAAGTGGAATTTAATAAATGGTGCTAGACCATTCCTGACCTTTACAATTGCTGTATGGATGTATTTACTGTTACAAAATAAAGGTGTCATCGCCAAACCCAACTACTTTGCCAGGTTAAAGGGTTTCGGAATAAGAAAATGTTAACAATTGTTCATCTGTCAGCAGCTGTTTCCTAAAATATTTTTTAGGAAAAATTAGCATACCTTCATTAGTAGTATTTTTTTTTGCGTTTAGCACAAAGACTAATTTAGTATTAGTAAACCTCATGATCAACATGACATGTCTAGATTGGTAAGCATAAAAATATTTATTAGAGCCCATCGGCTTAGCATTTGTTGGAAATTTCATTGCAGTCAGTCTCAGTTGCCTATGGAACAGGTTTGCCATTAAAATTCCACATGCAGAATATATTACGTCTTTTCAGGCTTCCTACCTTGCTATTTTCCTGTGAATGTAGTTGGATTTAAATGGCTGGGGCAGGGCATCCTAATTTCTTTTTCCAAAAATAAATTCAGTATTACATTCTGCTGCCCTGTGGCTTTATTATTTAAGGGAAGAGATCACATTTTGAATGCATGAGCTCTTCTACTTCTGTTTTTACAGGAAACACATGAAAGAGCTGTGTGAAGTAATAAAAAACTATGGTAGGGTGAAAACTTCACTACCTCAGATATTCAAGCATGTCATTCTCTTTCAAATCTCTCCTACATTACGTGATTATATTGTCAGCCTACATCTTGAGCAGTCCAAATGCCATTATCCAGTTTGATTCCAGTTTATAGATGGTGTTGAGAGAGGTGACTGATGATAAACCTAAGGTAGAGTACTAGACATTATTTGAGGTAAGTGACTACCATTAGTATCAATCCCGCGTTCTCAAGCTTGGAAGCCGAGTTGACATTAAATTGAATATTTCCAGTGAATCCTATGATTTTCAAAATCAGTTTTTTTTCAAACATGTTTCTTCTTAAAAGTATACAGATATTTTCAAAATCCTATAATAGTGGTAAATGCAGTGATTTAGTTGTAGTTCTAATAGCAGATATATGAGTTTGAAGACATTAGATATACATGGCCTTAACAATCATTATTCAATTTACTACCCAACATTTGGTCTTCCATAGAATGTGATGCAGCAGCAGCAGCAACAACCAAGCCTTTTTCCCAATTAATGTGGGTAGAGTTAGTAAAGAAGAATATGATAGAATAATTGAGCCTAAATAGCGAATATGTTCACTTTTATGTACCTCTTGATTCTCAATCCTCACTACATCCACATTAGTATATACATGGCCTTAACAATCATTATTGAATTTAATACCCGACATTTGGTCTTCCATAGAATGTAATGCAGCAGCAGCAGCAACAACAACCAAGCCATTTTTCCAATTACTTGGGATCAGCTACATGAATCCTATGTAGTCAATCCACATTCTATCATATTCTTCTCTACTAACTCTACCCACATTAATTTTGGTCTTCCTCTTCCCCTAGTATTACCCTCAATATGGACTATGTCGTTTTTCCTAACTAGCGCACTTAAAGGTCTTCTTTGCACATGTCCAAACCATCTTAACCTATTTTTTCTCACTTTATCTCCTATTTATGCTACTCCAAAAATCTCTCGAATGTGATAATTTCTAAGTCTTATCATTTCTAATCTTACCACACATCCATCTCAACATTTGTATTTCCGCCACACACTTTATGCATATGTTATTTCCTAACTGCTCACCATTCTGTGCCATAAAGTATGGCTGGTCTAATAGTTTTTGATACAACTTCCCTTTCAATCGTAAGGGATACGCCTGTCACACAATATACTAGATGCACTCTTCCATTTAACCCATCCTGCCTTGATTCTACGATTACCGTCATCTCCAATTTCTCCTTCATTATGAATAATTGAGCCTAAATAGCGAAAATGTTCACTTTTTCGTACCTCTTGATTCTCAATCCTCACTACATCCTCATTTGTATTTCTAAATTTACTAAAGTTACATTCCACATATTCAGTTTTTTTTTTTTTTTCCTACTTATCTTAAACACTTTTAGTTCTAAAGCTTCTCTCCAAACCTCCAATTTGGCATTAACTCTTCTCTCATCAACTAAAACAATGTCATCGGAAAATAACATATACCATGGAATCTCATCTTGGATGTGTCTTGTCAGCTCATCCATAACCAAGGCAAAAGGGTATGGGCTTAATGTATGTGGGAATTCACTTATCTCCCCTACAGGCATTCTAACTATAGTCACACAACCATCATACATGTCCTTTATTGTGTCAATCAGTCAATGTATCCATTTATGACTCCTTTCATTTCTAAAACCCTCCATATTAGATCTCTAGGTACCCTATCATAGGCTTTCTCCAAATCTATAAAAACCATATGGAGGTCTCTACTTATCTCTCTATATCTTTCCATTAGTCTCTTCAATAAGTAATTAGCCTATATCATTGACCTTCCGAGCATGAATACAAATTGATTCTCCAACTCTTCAGTCTCTCACTAAGGCGTTGTTCAATCACTCTCTCCCAAAGTTTAATAGTGTGACTCATTAATTTAATATCGCGGTAATTGGAACAACTTTGTACTTTCCCTTTATTTTTATATATAGGCACTAGAATACTTTGGCGCCACTCATCACGCATTCTCATAGTTATTATTGTTTCATAGCATGTGATGAATTCTTTAATATTTCAAAAGTTAATCTTAAACATAGTTCTACCAAAGCGCACGCCGCTAGTTTGACAAAAAGCAAGGCATGTAGCTTAATAATGTGCACAGGAAAGAAGGAAAAAAATCTAACCTTTTTCCTCCATCTTTTCAAAAGCAGAAAGAGCACTGCTTGTATCTACATTCCCCAACATCTCGCTCACTTTGGTTGCAGTCCTAAAGAAATTAGCATTAAGTAATGATTACGATGAAATAAACTATTATGCAAGCAGGATAACTGAAAGTAAATAATTGAAGACTGAGCACAAACTTTGCAGACTGTGCACGTGCTTTCAAAGTATCTTTCTTTGACCTTGCCTCCTGTATCTTACTTTCCAAAAGCTGTCAAAAGAAAATTAGAATAGTCAAACACCAAGTGTACTAGGCTTTGGTTGGTCGTCCATCATTAATGTTAAGAAAATATGTGGTAACCAAAAAAGCACATACAATTTCATCTAATGATTGTACTAATGGAGACTCCAAGAGACCAAACATTAATGGACGGTGGAATCATTAGGGTAATTGTGTAATGTGGTGATAGGAAATAGAAACCCACCCGTGTATTGGAGACAAGACTATTAACAATACCCTTCTGCTGATCAAGTTGAGCCTTCAAAGCATTTGCATTATCCTGGAAAATAGTACAAATTAAGTAAACCAGGTTAAAAGAAAACTCAGCCTGATACCAGTGTCTCTGTACTATTTCATTTCATTACCTTATCCCATTAAGAACAATCTAGTATGATATTAATCAACAGAACATAAAACACAAGCATCAAAATATCATAATGGAAACCTGCAAGTTCAATACCACTCAAGACGGCTTGGAAGGGAGATTTTCCAGTCAGAGTTCTTACTTTCTTATTTCAATAAATCTGAAACTCACAGGCTCAAAATGGTTGATTGACAGATGATTCGTAGCCCATAGCAATGGCTGGAATAATGATTGACACGTGGTCACCAAAGGGCTTCCGACCAAGAAGTTTTGGTATTGGTGGCTGGTACAACTACTCCATTATTATGAAGCTAAGGCATGAGAGAAGGCCCCCGTCAATGTCCTTATCTGACTTGAGGCTACGCGGAGAACAGGAATGAGCCTCTCAAAGGTTCCGCGGTATAAATATATTATATATGAGGGAACCCAAAAGTACTAACCAAAGTCAGACTCTAATGGGTATATCAAAAGGCCAGGAATTGGATGTCAAGAGTCCTAGTAACGAGATCAGTTTATATGAGCAGTTTTTGTTCTTGACCATCTTCACAATTTTAACATAATATGCATTAGAATGTAAACACCGAAGAAGCAAATACAATGATACATATTGCACAATAGAATTCCTTCCATAAATCAGACAGAACTGGTAAAACTAAAAATTGAAACCCTGCAGGGTCAGTTTTCATTAACAAATTTCTGTTTAGGAACATACGTTTCACAGCAATACAGCATGGTAAGAACCTATTTCTCCCTTAGTTTGCCTCTTTATAAGAAGAAACATTAAAGATTTAAGGATAGTACAACTGCATATCAATTACAAGGCACTAAGTAATGTGTTTTCAATTAATTCCAAAATAACAAATTTCTAAATCTATACAAAGAACTACATTTAATAATATGTGTTTCTAGTCATCTACTGTACAAGAAAACCAGTCTCACATTTAAAGGTATCCTAATTTGTGTCAACTATATGATCTATATAAGACTACCACTATTATACTAATTGTAAGAAAGGTGGTATACCACATTCTTGATCTCATTCCATGATCTATATAAGACTACCACTATTAAAAATCTCACACACAAAAGTTTTTAGAAACTGTTCTCAACTTCTAAGTTCTATCTACATTTTTTGACTCAACTAATTGCAGATGCTAAGCACAATTACCCATCCATGAAAATCCATGAGAAAAAAAAATAAAAATAAAAATAAAAAAATCATCTACCTCTGGAATTGAAATAATAAAATTAAACTAGGAAAAAAATAATAATAATAATAAATTTTTTTTTTTAAAAAAAGAAAAGATCTGGCTGAGGCAAGATTCTTGTTGCTTCATCTTTATCACCATAAAAACAAACTTCTATTATTTAGCCTCAACAGACTTCTTCACAAGAAGTCAAAAAACTGCAAAATCATATATAACATTCAACACATACTAAAGTTAGTCATTATGGGCCACAGAAAAAATAAAAACATGCTCTTTTAGTGTTGTCAGTTTCATAAACTTACTCGTTCGAAGAAGAATTAGAAAAATAGGAGAATCTATAACAAATACGATGGTGTATCATGTGAACTTGTCAAATATTTTAACATATATTATATCCACAACTTGATATAAATTTTCTTGCAAGCTTGATGAACCTTTATAACAACTTGCAAACAGTTTCTTAAAATACATTCTTACCGCAAAAGATTTACGCCGTTTAAGTGCTTCACGGGCAAGATCCTCCTCCCCCTTCCCAAGAGCAAGTTGTGCTTTTCGGTACCTGTCATTAACTAAATAATGGGCTCAACAGCTCCAGGGAGCAATTTTTTTAATGCAATAATAAAATGTTCCTTAGAATATTACCAATCTTCAGAAGCTTGCTGTGCAGCTTTATATTTGTTTTCCAACTGCTTTTGTGATGCAAGAACCTTCAGAAAAAGGGATAGATGTAAAAAGGAAGGGAAAAAAAAAAAAAAAAAAAAAAAACACTTCCATCTCCTCCATCTTTTTATCTCTTCATGCAGCAACAGTTTCAACATTTTTATTTTCTAATTTGCCATGGACAGAGTAGTAATAACACCTAATAAATAGGAGAACAAACATATAGAGACTTGTTTGATTCTAGAGGAGGAAAAAATATATCAGATGAAAATTTGGCATACTCTTGCTGTAGCTTGACGCATCTTTGTTAAATCATCATTCATTTCCAGCACGGACTGTTCTAAGATCTTCTCTGGATCTTCAAATGTGCTTACAATTGCATTCGCATATGACTAGCTTATGAGAGAAAAATAAAAGATACAAAAACACTTTAGTACTGTATAACTCGGAGAAATTGAATCTGTGAGTGCCACACTGAAGATAAAAACATGTTAACATTCAGATAACCTTGATAATTCTGGAAAATCGATCAAATAGGTTCATCCGAGTACCAAGAGCACCCCCGCCATGATAATTGCATTTGGTTCTATTGAAATGAGCTAATTGAATTCCTGCGACTTTTCGAACTGCCATTGCAAGAAAAATGTAGAATTCATTGAAGCATAAAATTAAGAGAGACAAATCTTTTGAGTCAGGAATTAGATATCATTATAACAAAGCATAAAATGAAAACAGCAATAAAGAAGATATACAGATTTCCAAGTTGTTCCCTATTTAGCATTATGATCCTAATAACTGAATAACTAACATGCACGCTGAGGATAAACTACAGCTGGTAAGCAACAAGGGTGAAAACAACAGGACAGAGCAAGAAAAATGAGAACCAACTTCCCCTGGCAAGTAACCGTGATTCAACCTACTTCTCTGTTCATATAATGGTTTCTCATGTGATTCTGAGGGTCAAAATGATGGTCATGTTAACTTATCAGAAAAAAAAAAATTTTGATGGTCATGTTAAAAACTAGAAAACCCAGCAGTTTTGCAATGAATTATTTTGTGTGTTAAAAGGAAAAAACCATTTCCCATAAAGCAATACCAATCAACCAAAGCCTCATCAATGTAATATATATAACTGGCAAAGTAACTTTTAAAGGTTTTACCAGATGGAGTGAGAGTAAACCATATTACTTATCAAAAAAAAAAAAAGATTTCTGGCAGCTAAAATTTGAAGGACGCTATTGATCCAGAGCATACAAAGCTAACTCGGACAAAATTACAGTAACCATACAAAAAACTAATGACATGTTATGCAGTTCCACTTTGTTAGTGTGACACTTAAGGTTCATGTAGGTTCTAACAATTAAATACTTACAGCCAACCCCCACAATTTGTTGCATGAGAGAAGATTTCTCCAAAGGTGTGAAATCAATTTAAAGTAATTAAATGTATGAGAATTGTCATTCTCCAAATCTTCTGTACAAGACTATAGCTTTTTCAAATATGATTTCTTAAGAGTTCAGACTAAGTTGTAAGTGTTATCAATAATAGTATACCCTATACAGCTAACTTGATGAACGAGCTAAAATAATTTCTACATAATAAGTCCTTACAACCTAGACAGGGTACTCGGGACTCGGGGGGACCTAACCTTTGACAATATAATACACAAAGTGGCTACTTGCAAACTGAAAACCCTCATTTCACAGTTGGCACAGTGATCTTCCTACCATTGCAGAAAGGCATTTGTACATGCATTTAAATTGAAAATTACATTAATCAAAGCAGTATGATAACCTCAGAAGAATTCTTATAAGAAAAGACAATAGATAGAACCATTCTCAATTTGATGAAGGCTTGTCTATGATCTAGTTTTGGTTCCGTCATGAAAGAAGAGTTCTAGACGGCCTTAAGCCTGCCTGCCAGCCTGCCGGAGTTAGAAAGGTGTTAATAACCATGTACTCCAAAAGCTTAAGTTGTTGGAGAGGGTGTAACTTTACTAGTTGAATCCTTCAACACGCCCACCCACGTGTGGCCTTCTTTTTGGTCCAACGCGTGCTTTTCAATTTTAATTAGGATGACAGTGACTCCGATACTATGTTAACAACCATCTACTCCAAAAGCTTAAGTTGTTGGAGGGGTGTAACTTTACTATTTAAATCCTTCAACAAAAGGAATTGGAAAAACCTAAGTAACTCAATACAAAGACGAAAATGTAGGTTAACATTTACAATTTTTTTTTTTTGTTAAGTAGGTTAACATTTACTCTCCCCACCATATGTTGAATCAAACTGACCTCTGCGGACTCATGAGAGCTTGAGTACAATTGATCATCGCTCCATGGATTCCTAGCCCAAAACAAAACTGACAGGACAGGTGTATCAGAAGCTCTTTTCCAAACTTATTAATTTGGCATACGGATAGACAAACAGCAGCAACATCACCGACCAACAGAGATAAGCTAAGAAGGTAAAAACGTGTCTTTCAAATTCACTCTCTGTCAAAATTATATGTCAAATTAGCAACCATGTATCCAGAAACTAGAATGAGTTATGTACACTCACATTTTTTCAGACAAGCGCTAGTGTATTAATTGCTTTCTCTTTTATTTTGCCTGGCACATAAATTAATAATTCAGCTAACTCGCTTTTCGTACTGATGAGTAACGGATTGCATATATAGAAGGAAACTCACAAATGAAAATGTAAACTCGCTCAGAATTATGATTATATATTTAGGATAATGCCCAAACAGCCAAGAATATCCCAAGGCTGAATTTGCCACACACAATATGGTATGATTTGGATTCTCAATTCCATCAACTTAAAACCTTTGTTGTAAAATAATTGTGCTCTTGTATTTTCATGGTCGACAAATTCAACTCCAAATCCATAAATAGATGAAGTAACTTAACTTTTAATAATGGATGGTCCAATTCCATGCACCAAAACATTTCACTATTGTTAAGAACTGTATGTAACAAATTGTATATACGTCACAAAAGTGCAAGAATTCAATTTACCCACGAAAGATTTAAACAAACCCAGTTCTAAATTCACACTAGTTTCTTAAAATCTTGTTTAAATCCAACAAAAAATTACAATTTCTATATTTAAATTGAATTCACAATATAAACAAAAAGTTAAGGATACCAAAATAATCAACAAATCACCGCTTATGTGAATGAAATACAGTGAGAATTTTTTTTTGGGTAAGTAAAAGGATGGCGGAAGGATTCGAACACTAGACCTCTGTATCAAAACACAGTGAGGATTGAAAAGGGTATGAGCAAATATACACAAATTATGAATCCGTACCTCCATTACCAAAGAAACATGTTCCGAGAGGTTGTGCCCTGACGATGACGAGCCTGTTAGAAGAGGGGACCTGTAATGGAGCAAAGGGTGTTGAAGCCATGCCTAACCCTGTAATTGGTGCTTTCAGTGCCATCTTCTTCTGATCGTGAACCAATGTTGCTTTCAACAACGACTCGCGAAACGAAAATTAGTAAAGGGTATCAAATCCTACAGAGAAAAACATATATAAGGTCTCTCGTTTCAGTGTTTTTTTTTTTCACCTTCCTGCTGCCCATATTTGTACTGACTTTAATGTATTGCTTCATTTTAAAATTATCATTGTCCTTTTAATTTTCAATTGTGTATATTAAAAATTTTAAAACTTTAGAAGGGTTATTATGAAGGAAAATGTTATACTTCGCTATTACAGAATCCAAATCCTAATACTCCAACATAGGGTAAATAACAACCTTTCTTATGATTTGTCATCCATGATTTCGAAAATTACTCAAACCTCTTGTAAAAATAAAATTAACAATCTTTCTTAAATGCACTAACAAATTTATTTAATTTACTGAAATACCTCAAGTTGTTATAATAAATGACAGTTAGAAAGGAGATTGATGAAGAGTAATATGGAAATTTTAATTTATTCACATCAGTACTGAAATTTTATTTATAATTCCCTTTTTTACTTTCTAAAACAAAATGTACTTGTGCATAACATTTGTTAAAAATAGTATCATAGTTTATATCTCTCTCCAGGTGTTCTACAAATATATATACATTTGATAAAAAATATTGAGCACATATTTATTTGGGCCAATTGTCATATTTAATAAAGATATGGATAATTTGGGTAAATTATAATATTTTTAGTTCACTTTCATGTTATCCATATTATGAAATAAAACTTTATCGCAATTTTTTTAAGAAAAGCAAATAAATTTAAAATATATATATTTCTTTTATTTTCTTCTTTCCTTTCTAGAATTGATTTTCATCTAACCAAATGGATAATTTAATAAATGGTAAGTAGGACCTAAGTCACATAAAGCAGGAGAGAGAGCGAAAGCGAATTCGAGAGTGGGAGCGGGAGAGCGGCATAATTAAGTCATAAACAGGGAGAATTTGTGCGAGAGAGTGCGCGGAGCGTGAGAGCGGGAACGTGCTCAGAGCATGAAAATGATACCTGTTAAGAAAGATTGTGTGACTTAGAGAATGACACAATTTAAAATACGACAAATACGAAAAATAATGTAGTATAAAACAACTAAACAAAAAGTAATTACAAATACGAAAACTTATACAAAGTAATTTCGTATATGATACGTGCCTATACATTTAGGACATAATTACCCCTCAGACACTTTATTTGACTTTACTGAATTGCCCTTGAATTATAAAAATTATATATAACTAAAAAATTATTAAAAATCAAAAAGTCAAAATTGCCCACACTAAAATCTGAGCCACTCAACCCATTTATGCCCCATCAAATACCTCCCTACAAACACTTACGCATCATCAAACCATATACAAACACTTACGCATCATCAAACCACCACAATATATATAGGGTTCAAATACACAAACACTCTTTGTCTCTCCCTCTCCCTATTAATGAGGGCACGTAGCTTCAAATCTACGGCGACTCATTCCTGCACCAAAGAACATACACACTTTTGCAGTTCAAAGCTATACTGGTGTCGCTGTCTCTCTCATTCTCGCCATTAACGCCTTCGATGAAGAAGCTTTATATTTGTGGCGAAGTCATTTTGGGATTTCAAGTTTTACATTATTCATTAAAAGTTTTACATTCTATAGTAAATGTTTTACATCATTCACTAAAAAATTTACATTAATGCAGTGAATGTTTTAAATGAGTGCAGTGAATTTTTTACGTTGTTTAAGTGCAAATTTTATATTATTCGGTAAAAGTATATATTACAAAGTAAATGTTATACATTATTCAGAAATGTTTTACACTTAATGCTCCGGTGCAATTGAATTTTTTTATTATTATGAAAAAAAAACCTAAGTGTGACATTGAAAGAGAGAGATGGCTTCGATTGTGTTTGAAATGGACCTTTGGTCGGAACAGTTGCCAGACTGTGTTGTTCCTCAGCTATGTTGTCTTACCCTAGCGTGAGCCACACGGATGAGAGACAAGGAATTATAGTATTTGTAAATGAGCCTTTAATGGATTCTATTGTGTTTGAATTAGGGCTGCAACTCGGGCGGGTTGGGTGGACTTGGCACTCATCTCGGGCTAGGCCTATATAAAAAATTTCTGCCCAAGCCCAGTCCATACATGATTAATTTAGCTCAAGCCCGCACCAATCCCGCCTCAAAAGAATTTGTGTGTAAAAAATACATCAATTTATGCTGCACCCATAACTTGAACATGAAGTCTTTAGCATAAATCCTAAGCAAACTATCAACTTAGCTACCACACACTTATGATATATATAATATTTCTGGGCTCGGGTTGAGTTTCGGACTTCATCCATATCAATCCAAACCCAGACCGAATTGAATTCGGGCTCAAAATATATAGCCCAGGCCCAAACCAAAATTAAAAACACATTGCCCAAGCCCACAAAATTTCGAGCTAGGCCCGGGTTATTTCGGATTGGGCCCACCTGACCCTAATTTGAATTCAACATTTGGAAGAAAATTATGATAGATGAACGTGTTCTTCACCTTCTGTTTGCTTTCCCTAGTGTAAGCCACAAAGATGAAAGAGAAGGAAAGATGAGAAATGGGTTCCAAAAGCTGAAAATGAGAAGGAAAGATGAGAAATGGGTTCCAAAGCTGAAAATGAGACCTTTTTGATAGATTGTTAAAGGTTAGTTTTGTAATTTTATGTGGGATTAAGGGGGCATTTCTGTAATAGACTAAACAAAGGTTGAGGGGTATTTTGGAACATTTATTATTATTCCTTTTTTTGTAAATACTTTTATAACACTCTTTTTGGTATTTATGGTATTTTAAATTGTATCCCCAATACTTATCATTTATTAAATTATTTCTTTAACTTTTATTTGACAATTAAATGTTTAAGGTTGATTTGGATGAATGAATTGAATATTGATCCGTATTAATCTCAAATCACTCTTCCTCCAAATGAAACCCAATGTATTGACTTTTATATCAACTCATCTCTAGCGGCGCATGTTCAATTCAAGAGTCCATTTCAAATATAATTAAATTTTAAAATGTATGATAACAAGTTAACAACTGATACAGTCGGTGTGGTAAAATGTAAAAAATAAAAAATAAAAAATAAATATATATATATATATATATATATATATATATATATATATATATTTCCCTTAAAAATTGTTGGTCAAAAAGTTTATTGAGCTTGGTACACTTTAACCCAACAAGATTGTGTAAAACATAGGAGATTTTTATTGCGTGGAATCTTTAATAGCAAATTAGAAATGTTTGATGTAAAACCCTAGAGAAAAACTGTACACCATTGTATTTCTTCTTCTTCTTCTTTTTCAGTATGTTTATAAAATAAAATAAAAATAATTACAGAAATCATGACAGCAACAAAACCTAATTAGTCAATGGGAGGTCAATCGATGACTTGAGCCCAAAACAAAGTCCATTGCAAGCACATGGTCACTACCTACTGTGATGGTCCAATTGGGGACTATCAAGGGAAGAGAACCAGGTATGGCATGGTTGGTATGAGTATGGGGATCAAGGAATTGTATAGAAAATGTTGGTGCGAGTCTCATCATTGAACGACTTTGGGAGGTTCAAATCCTTGGCGATGCTCTATGCATTTGGGCATTTGCTTTGATTCACACATAACAGTCGAAACCTCACTGTATCAATCACAGCATTCAAAGTTTGGAGGGGAGGTGTGGACTTGTTTCTGAACATTCTGTTGTTCCTTTCCCTCCAAATGCGGTACACAAATCTTGCCAATGTCAGCTTCCAGGTCAGAATTATATATGGTTGATTTCATTTTTTGCTTCCAATTTGATGATGCCCACACCAGGAAAATTATCCATGAGTTAGGGTTCGTATAGAACCCGCATTTGTTTTGTGTACCATTTTTTTTTTTTTTCATAATTATTTTGTGTACCATTTTAGAATATGTGCATTGGTGGAAAATGTGGTCATGGGACTCAGCTGCATCGAGGCATAACATGCATACATTTGGTTGTATTTTGTAAAAGATGGCTGGCTTATCTTGAGTGAGTAGTTTTTCTTGCATTGCCAGCCATAAACAGAAACAATGTTTCGGTATGGCATTTGGAAACCACACCAGTTTGTGCCAGTGAATTTCAGGAAGATGTTGTGTTAGTAATGTTAAAATGTGGTGACATCAGATTGGAAATACGTCTAGACCAAGACCATAAGCCATTTGGTAAGAGGTTGGACACTTTACAAAATTTGTTGATAGTCCGGTATTGTCCATGATTAGAATTAGTAGGTATACCTGATAGAGAGGGCCACAGAGTAACCGGTAGTCATAGAAAACCATTGTGTTAGCTTCATTGTTGATCTTGTGTTGAATGAGTGGTTGAGCTAAGTGTCTATTCTGCATGAGCTTTCTCCAAAACCAAGAACAATCATTGGGGTAGTCCGTAGTCAGGTCCCATAAACTCCTATGCTTGATTAAATACTTAGAAGTCCATTCCTTTCATAAACTTTCTGTTTCATTTGGACATAGGAACCACATATGCCTTGGGATAGATGCTTTATTCCATATTTGGATGTCTGGTAGGCCAAGTCCTCTTGCTTGTTTTGATTGACGCACTTGATTCCATTGAACTTTTGCTCTATAACTTGTTATTGTTGCACCTGCCCACAGGAATCTTTGTAGAATTAAATTAATCTGATCACACACCTTGATTGGGAGAATCAAAAGATTAGTCCAGTAGGTATGCATGCTAAGTAGGGTTGCTTTGATTAGTTAAAGTCTTCCAGCAAAGGATACAAACCTTGCAGTCCAGTTTGTCACCCTAGCCATCATATTATCAATGAGAGGTTTACAATCACATGCATTTAACCTTGTAAGATACTTGATTGGAAGAGTACCACACTGAAAATTAAAAAGACTACAGATGACTGACTTAGTGACCATAGGACCTCCACTAAGGAATATATGACTTTTGCTGGAATTGGGTTTAAGTCCAGAGAGACTACAGAAGATATCAATGGAGATTTTTAGGACCTGTGCAGAGGACAATTTCCCAAAAAAAAAATTATTAGGTTGCCGTCAGCAAAAGATAGGTGGGAAATGTTTAGAGCT